GGCCTTCTGGCCAGGTCACTAATATAGTCCTCCCCTTCTAGGGTAACAGTCTTTCCAGGCCAGCTGTCCGGTGGCATTTCCAATGCTCCTGTGCCCACTAGGGGAACCCTTTGCCTACCACACCGGGTTCCATTCCAGGGACCCTATAACAAGCAACCAAGATCTGCACAGTCCTACCCCCTACTTCTGTTTCCCTGTGCTTCTTCCTACCTTGCCCTCAGGTTTTCTTTCACCACAACTCTTCTGGGGTTGACCCTTCTTCCAGGGCTAGAACCACAATGCTTATTCTCCCTCTTGGGTTTTCTCCTCCCCTTCTCTCTGCTCCCAGAGAGTTGCTGCAGACTCTCCCCCTGCAGGCCCCTTCCTCTGCAAACACTTCCCAGGCACTTTTGCTGACAGTAGGAAGGGATTAATGGGCAAATTATTCAGTGATGCCATTGGGACAGGGGTAAAGTACAGTACAGAAGACACAGGATATGTCTACACTCCAATTAAACACATGCAACTGACCCGCGTCAGCAGACTCGGGCTCATGAGGCTCGGGCTGCATAACTGCAGTGTAGACGTTCGGGCTCAGCCTGGAGCCTGGGTTCTGTGACCTCATGAGGGGAGAGGGTCTCAGGAACCTGAGCTCCAGCCTGAGCCCAAACGTCTACACCACAACTTTACAGCCTTGCAGCCCAGGTCAGCAGCAGGTGTTTAATTGCAGCATAGATATACCCAAAGGGCCCCTCTTTTACCCCTGTAAGACACAAAGTAACTTGTAAGGAGGAGTTATTTTAACTTCCGATTTTCTTTCAGGATTCCCATTTTATAGAGATCAGAAATAACTGCATGATGGCAGCAACTGAAATTATATTTTTTATGAAATAAAATATTTAAATTACAAAATAAAGGGGGTACAGAGTCAAAACACATTAAAGGAGAGGTAATTGTGTTTTTTGTACACCTGAAACTTACACCGGAACAACACAGCAATTAGGACTGTCGACTAATTACTTTTTGGTATTGAAATTTTTCTTAAAGTTTTCAAACAGCCAAAAGCCATTTTTTTCCAAGCTAAATGTTTGAGCTTGTTTTTTCAATGAAAACCCAAAAACTTTCATTAAAAATTGACATTTGCCTTGCAAATATCAGTTTAGATGAAAAAGCCATTTTTCTTAAAAAAAGAAAAAAAAATTAATGAAAAATTTCAACCAACTCTACTTTTTATAACTATACCCCCAACCTTCAGTTCCATGGATAGGCTGTGCATGCAGCCCTAACAATTACTATTTTTAAGTGGTTCTAGGACACCAGATAAGTGCTCCATGAGAACAGGCACCTGCAAGAGGCAATTCGCAAAGGAGAATTCTATATAGGAGACCATTTTGCATGCAGAGACCTAAACTCATGTCATTTTAACTTCTGAAACACTAACATTCACCTGTTGGCCACTCCACTCATGAGGCTTATAACCAAAGTGCAAACAAAACCTTACTCGTAATAGTGCTAAAGGAGGCTAGAGAAAATGTCTCAACTTGCTTAGTTAATTTGTTATAATACCTTGAGCTTCCTTTCTGAAAAGTAAGCTTTATATATACAAGCCACTGAAATACAAAGGAAAGCAGCAGATATAGGTATGTACTTGTACCAAGATAACACTCTTGAGTTTTTAGATCATTTTCAGCCAAATAGTTCCCATAACACTTTTTAAAAAATTAATTGATATTTTAGGATGGGAAATTTAGCATGTTGAACATATTTCTAGTAAGATGTATGTGTATCCCCCTTAGCACTTTACTTGTATACTGTATCCCTTTTCTCCTCCCTCTGGTCTGAGACAGTACATTCTTAAGACAGAGACAGTGTGTTTTATTTGGGAGCACATTTTGGATGCCAGCATAGACTAAATCAATATCTGCATATTGTGTGTACATGTGCTAGTGAAATGACGTGAAGCCAGTCATATGACAAACATTGCATTTATTATGCTCTTTTGACTACCTCATCTGCACTCTGCCCACGGGGCCTACTTCTAACAATCCACGAGCATCTTAAGGCAGCTGCAATTAACATGTTCCATAAAAATATTTCCCTGAAATATGGGGCTTCCCCTCAACACAACCCCTAGTCAATGACAGGTTCAAGTTTGATATCTTAACCATGAAGGTAAAAAAATAGCATATAATTGAAAACTGAAGATTACGAGATTTCAAATGAAACTACTGGTGTCCCTCTCACTTGTCAATATATGAAACCTAAAATCATATTTAGCAGGAAAGTACACTGTTTTTTGGGCTAATTTCATCTATCCTCCTAAGGTATACAACTGACTCAAGAGAAACTGGTTTTGCAGACAGAAAGACATGAAAAATGTTGTTTGCAGCATTGTTGTAGCCGTGTCGGCCCCAAGATACAAGAGAGACAAGGTAGGTGAGAGAATAACTTTTATTGAACCGACTTCTGTTGGTGGACAGGACAAGCTTTCAAGCTTCACAGAGCTCTTCCTCAGGTCTGGAGAAGGTAGCAGAGAGTGTCCAAACTAAATACAAGGTGGGACAGATTGTTAAGCAGAGGTTCTCACATATAGGAGACTACTTAAAATGAAGTGGAAAAATGCACCATGAAACTAACAATATAATCAATGATATTTTAATCGAGATGACCTGAACTCCCTCAGACTTCCACCACAACTTCAACCACCACTACCCATCCAATGAACTCTCTGGAATACTCCCACTCTAGCATCAACTTCCTGGACACCACAATCAGCTTCAGCAATGGAACACTACACACAACTATATACAAGAAACCCATGGATCACCATACTAATTGCCACACATCCAGTAACCACCCCAGATACACTAAGATATTTTATGTACAGACAGGCACTCAATTTGCTCCAAAGAGGAAGTCTGGGATACACACCAAAACTCACTAAAAATCACCTCCACCAAACAAGGACTCGCCCACCAGAGAAGTAGATCATATCATGGAATGGCCACCCAAATACCCTGGGAGAACCTGCTTCAATACAGAAAAAAACCCACTGACAGCACACCCCTAAGTTGTCACCCACCACCCCAAACTAAAACCCATACGGGGTATCAAATAATTACAATCCATACTTGATAGGGGCCACTTCCTGAAAGAAATCTTTCCCAAACCTCCTCTTGTAGCCTTCAAACAACTGCACACCAACCTGCCAAGCACATCATCAGAAGCAAGCTTCCCACAGACCAGGACATACCAATTCAAAGTGGAACCAAACCCTACCACACAACAGACAAAACCTGCAAGCCTGGACACAAAAACTGCTACGAGTATTAATTACTCCCCCCGCAAAACACACCTTTCAGGATCCATGGGTCCTACACATGCCTATCACAACATGGGGTGTACCTCATTCAGTGTATCAAATACCCCAACAACTACTATGTGGGTGAAACCACACAATCACTAAGCTCTCAAATGAACTCTCTCAGAAAAAAATGATAAGAGACATAAAAGACAAACACCCCATCACCTGTCGGTGTACACTTTTCACAAAGCAATCACTCCATGTCTGACCTCTCAGTCCTAATCCTCAAAGGAAACCTGCAGAGAGAGCCTGGGAATTTAAATTAATAACTCTGCTGTACTCTAAAAAAACATGGACCTAACGGAGACACTGGCTGTATGACTCATTACAACAATTTGTAACACGCACTACTGCCTGCTAACCCTTAATTGCCCACTTCATTCTAAGTTGTCTCCTATAGCATGCATGAACCCCTTATGCCTAACTATCTGTCCCAACTTCTATTTAATTTGGACACATTGGTTACCTTCCCCAGACCTGAAGAAGAGCTTGAAAGCTTGCCCCTTCCACAAACAGAAGTTGGCTCAATAAGAGATATTACCTCATGAAAATATTAATATTAACAATACTTGAAAATATTTTTTCTGTGCAACGAGGCACATGCAGAGTACATGATGGTGCGGAAGAGGTTTGACTGACAATTATTTGGGATGGCCTGCATTACTCTGTGTCAGACACAAATGGTTTATTCAGGCCATCCCAAACATGTCAATAAGACTTCTAATATAAGAGAATACATAATAGTCATACATTCTGCATACACAAACCAATGAAATATCACCACCTCGGGGGTGAAATGTGACATCAGCTTAACAGTGTAAAGCAACTAATTAAAACTCCAAGGATAATTTTAGGCAGGTAGAATATAACTAGCCAATATGGAAATTGGTTAGGATGATGTGGATCAAAGTCCTTTCTGCAAGTACTACACGGAATTTTTAAAGACCGCCAACTACCAGCATCTCTGTTTTACATGCCACTCTTAGGAGGGCAGCTCCAGCAGTAGAACCACTCAACTGTGCTACAAGGTTTTGTTTTTAAAACATAATGGCAGCTCTACAGTAATCAGTTAAGTGGAAACAACTAAGGCCTTGTCTACACTACCAGGATAAGTTGACCTAAGTTACGCTACTCCAGCTATGACTATGTGAATAACGTAGCTGGAGTTGACGTAGCTTAGGTCGACTTACTGTGGTGTCTACACCACACTGCATTGACAGGAGACGCTCTCCTGTCGACTTACCTTATTCTTCTCGGGGAGCTGGAGTACCGGAGTCGACTGGAGAGTGCTCTGTGGTCAATTTAGCAGGTCTTCACTAGACCCTCTAAATCGACCCTGCTGCATCGATTGCAGCAGCATCGATCCCTGGTAAGCGTAGACATGGTCTTAGTAATTCAATGTGCTGTTAACCAAAAAAACTGGAATTGTAAATTAGGCACATTTAGAAAACAGTGGAATGTACTAACATAACTCTACAAAAAGCTTCTAGGTTAATTACCAGCCCAGTTCAATTCTACCAGCGAAGTCACAAGTACTAAAATACATGCTCTTTATAAAGCAAATTGACATATTCCTTCAAGAGTCTCCATAAACTGTTATAGTTGCTATATAGCACATGAAGTTTTCCCATGATTTCTGGAAAATACAAAGCAAATATTGTTGCTAGATAGTCTTTATTTTCCTTTAACAAAAAACACAAAGGCACAAAATTCACTTATATATTGTCATTATTATACAGGTATAAATAACGCTCAGTATTCAAGTACAGTCAAGTAGAGACTTCCTATACCTTATGTAAACACAAACTAATTTTGTATATCATGTGCCTTCGGCCCATCTGCACACAGGTAATGCCAAAGGAGTTACAATACAGCTTAGTGCTGTTTAACTGCATTCTGTCAAAAAAGTTAAGACAATGACTAAGCTGTTACAGTTATGACACTTTCACACTGCTTAAGCTGAATGCCTAAAGACATTTTAGCCTGTAAACATCTAGATATTTAAAAGTCATTCAATCAATTTTAATGGGTAAACATTAAAAAAAAAATCCTAAAAGTTCACAAAACCAAAACTCCACTAGATAAGTTGTTGCTAATTACTGCAGCTTATGTTCAATACCTAAAACTTAGTATGCATTTGGTTAAGTGTATGGAAAATAACCCTGTAGGTAAATTTTAGTTTTCAAATATACAAAACTAAGCTAAAGCGACCTGTGATTGTGTTAGACTTCAACCAACTGTACATTCTGCAGTGCATTAGCTCACTGAAAGAATACATGCTTAATTTTCAATATCCAGTAGTGCACATAGCTTCGACGTACTGTGGTAGTGAGGCAGTCTGAGCTCAAGAAAGATTTTAATTTGTACCATTTTCAAAAAGCCCACCTGAAGAGTAACAACTGGCATGAACAAAGCTAAAAGAACTAGCTACAGAAGGCACTTGAAGTACTTATTCTGGGACAGACTCATCACTTTGTTCAGTTGGAACAGCGGAATCGATTTTCGTAACTGAAGGTTCACTTTCATTTGTTGTTTCTTCTTTCACAGCCTCTTCAGATAATTCAACCCCTTGCTGCTCAGTACTCGATGCCTCACCATCTATCTGGTCTGCCTCAATAATATGTGTAATTTGTTCTATGGGTTCTGAGAAAAAAAATGATTAAATTAATCATTTGATCACTTCCAGAAATACTGAATACACAGTTGACGTTTGTAAGGAAGTGTGGGACTTAGACTTGAACATTTTCTAATCACAGGTTTAGGGTACTGTCACTGTATAGAAGTTCTTTATAAATACCAGGACCAACCTGCAGTGGGTTGATATTTCTCTAATGGTAAGGCCAAAAGTAAGAATTTGCAGAGTTGGGGGGGGGGGGGGAGGGAGAGAGGGGAAGAGAAAAGTAGACAATGGGAGGAAGAGATATTGAAAATTCAAAGCTATCAAGGTAGGCATTTATATATTCTAGCACATTTGATACAAGATTACACACAAGAATGTTATTATAAATTGCGAATTTAAGTGCTCAAAAATTAAGTATCAGAGTTAAGGTTTCCTATGCAACCTTAATTCAGTACCCTTGTGCATATGCATTATGATATAGTCTTTAATTACATGTTCACATACCATTTTTTCCACAGGACCCCTGCCTCATTTCATGGACAGGACAGCCCAGCTCTGGAACTAAATCAGAGCTGGGCAATGAAGGAGGCTGTTTGTAGGACCCTTTGCAGCTTCTGCAAGAGATGAGGCAGCTCAACTGGAGCTGACTAGGATCTGATTTTTATGTGTTCACATACCATTTTTTCCACAGGACCCCTGCCTCATCTCTTGCAGAAGCTAGGTGGTGTGTAATATTTATAGTACTGGAGGCAGGGGGGTTTAGGCCTGCCTATAACTATAGGCCCAACCCCTCAACTACAGGGGAGGAACCAATGAGCCCAGACTACAGTTGATTTCTGGGGACAACAAATGAAAAAACAGGCATGGGAGTGAGATCAGAGGTAAAGAATAAGAGATCCAGAGGGGGACACAAAGCAGAGAACCCCAGACAGCACCCACTGCTTCTCTAAGGAGTTTAGGAAGTCAGTGGACACTGCCCAGAGGAACTCTGCCCAAAGACGTAAGCGGAAAAGGGACCGAAAATAGGCCCCATGGTCACAGAACACCCCTCTGTCTAGCTGCCTCCTCTTGGAATGATGGATGGCCAGCTTGGCCAGCACCAGGAGGAGGTTGATGAGGAGGTCCTGCAACTTTGTTGGGCCCCGGATGCGGTGTGCATAGATCAGGAGGTGTGGGGAAAAATGTGGCCAGAACTGGCTCCTCCAGAGCCTCTTGCTGAGGAAGAGGGGCTGCAACCTGATGTGCACCAGGGTCTCCTCGTTGCAGAAGAGGCAGGCATCAGGGGATTTCGTGAACTGCACTACGTATATGCCTGTGCTCACAGCTCTGTGGAGGAGCCACCAAATGATATCCCTGGCAGGCTGTGGGACCAGACTGGAATATAGACTGGCCTGCCAGGGTTCCTAACCCTCCTCTGGTGGCAGCAGGTCCTGCCACTTGGTGTCAGGGCAGGACACAAAGGTGAGAATGTGGATAGTATGAAGCATGAGCACATACAGATGTTCTCTGGGCAGGGTTCAGAGGCAGACTAGCTGGACGCTGTGCAGTTGGCTCAGGTAGCATGTTGGGAATGGCTGGGGAGGCTTGCAGGATAAGGGTCCAATGATGAGTTTTGGAGGGGCAGAGGTGAAGGATGGGAGGGAAGCACCCTCCTGCAGGACTCGCTCGAGAAAAGCGAGAGAAGCCGGAAGCAAGGCTGCTCTCAGCTCCTGGAGTGCACATCAGGTGATGTGCAGGATGGAAAGCCCCATGCACTGGCCTACGGTTGCAGGGTCCACCTAGCCCCTCTGATCAGAGTCCAGGTGTGTAATGAATGAGGCGGGGATGCAGGAAGAGAAAGGGTGGTGTCTCAGTTAAGAATGCTGCTCTGGAAAACACTGAATTCTATCCCTGCCTCTACACAAAGTTCCTGTGTGGTGCCAGGCAAGTCACTTAAACGAACTTTTCACAGGTGGTTACTAATTTTGTGTGCTTTATTTTCTGTATGCACAACTTGAGATCCAGATTTGAGTCTGATTTGCAAGAAGACTGAGCACTCATAGCTGCAACTGAAGTCACAGCTGTACTCTGATCATATGAACTGTTAAGTACTCTGAAAAATCAGATCCTAGTCCCCCCGAGCAAATTAATAATTTTGTCTTCAGAGGAGAGTTTCAATACCGCGCAGTAAAGGCATGGGGACACTAACTGAACAATGAGGAGGAAACAAAATATTTAATACTTCTCATTAGCTGGGCATCATTTAACCTGCACATTGAATGAGGCAGGGGTCCTCTGGAAAAAACTATATGTGATCATATAATAAGGCTTTCACAAGGGAGCAAATTAAAGTTGGACAGACAACCTTAATTTTGGCATTTCCTAACTTCTGAGTGCTCAACTTTGCAACCTTAATATTCTTTTAATGTAGTTTTTTTAAAATATAATTTACTAGGTCTTTAAGAAAGCAAACTATAAAAAACAAATTCCATTATATGGCATCATACTGACACTCATGAGGTTCACCAGCAGCGTTGGAATCTTTAAAGCCACCACACTGATCTCTGCCACTTGAGCAAATGTTGTAAATGGTAGCAGTAGAAGGCTGTCATCCTCTACATGGATCAGCACCAGAGTGGTAAGTCATACTGATGGGGGGTTCACAGATATTTGCTGACCACAAAGGAATGGGGAGATTCAGGCATCTTGGATTCCATTCCAGGGTCTAGAGGGGAGTGTGGTCTAGTGGGCACAGGCTTCTGCACATTCCCTCCAATTTGACTCCTTCTGCTCTGTCCCTCTAACCAGTCCCTGTCTAGTCTCTTCCCCACCCATCTCATCATCCCAGCCTCATCTCATTGTCTAATGAGTCTAAGACTCCACTCCTCAGGCTTCTCATCCCAACCCGTTTCCTGGCCCAGTCTGTTTCATCTCCCAGTTCCTCATTCAATCTGTCTCTCCGCTCCTCCTTGGCCTCTAGTCCTTCCCGCCCTCACTGGTTTCCCAGTCCCAATTATTCTCCCAAGACTCCTCATCTAGTCTGTCTCTCTTATCCCCACCCCACCCCCTGGCTCCTTGTCCCAGTCTCAGTCTCCCAACTCCCAGTCAGATTTTCTTCCATACCTTACTTCAGTCCCTGTCTCAGACTCCTTGTTCCAATCTACTCCTTTCTTTGCCCAGTTCTTATCCTCTCTGCATTCAAGTCAGGTAGCTTTCTCCTCCATGGGCTCTGGCCCCAGGGTGGGTGGGAGTGCCATTGAAAGCACAGGAGAGACACCCTTCCCCTGCTATCAGTTCCAGTGCCCAGCCGCAACGTAGCCTGGAGATTTTAGCAGCTCCACCAAGAAGTCTGAGCACGTGGGAACTGCAATTTTTCAAAAGCTTATAGCAGCCAAATTTGGGTGGATTTTCAAAGGGAAAGCAAAAGGCACATTCTTGATACAGAGACCACTCCCCTGCCAAATTTCAAGCCCCTAAACTGAAGCATAGGGGCACACTAGAGGTCTCAAAAGAAGATTCCAAGCATGTGAAAGGTAAGTAAAAAGTAAGTTTTTATCATTTAAAAATAATTTTGGCAAAGGGCTGAACTGTTTGGGCTGAAACTTTCAAAAAAATATTCAACCTGAGGAAACGCTATGCATAAAAAAATTCAGCATAAATGCTTAAAAGTTGGCAAAGTTATATGCAACTAAAAACAGGGTCTTATAACAGCTCCACCTATTATATAACAAACTCTGATGTTTAAAGCTTTCATGTGCAAATACAAGGATTTAATTTTACATTATAACAAATTGGTTATGATTAATGTAAATGTCTAAAGTCATTTAGATCTCAGTAACACAATTTAAATGCTAGTAAAAGCTGTAATTATAGAGGGCTAAAACTCTGAAAATGAAATTGAAAAGGACAAAATATTACAATGCAAATATCTTATTTAGTTGACGTCTTTGAGTATTAGCAATTAGTCTTGATTGATTTAATTGAAGGAAAATACACCTACATATATCGGCCTTCCACACAACTGTTGTAGATTGCTTAAGACAGATTTTAATATGTCAAAGCCATTACCATATTATAGCACTCTTAACAAAAAACCTGATTCCAACAGCCATGCATTTCTTAACATCCTTGCTCAGCGTTTAGTATTAAACAAAAACATGTAAACAGAGCCTTCTTCACAGTCAGCTAATGAAGTCAACTGTCCTACCTTTGCGGTAGGGAATGTTTCCCACAACAACCAGCGAGCTCACAATATTATGATTTCAGTTTGACTAAGGTGGTAGGCATCTGTTATGAGGGTATATCACAAAAATCATGTAATAAGTAAATATCAAGTGGAAAGGAATCCCCCTACGACCTAACGTGCAACTAGTTATTTTTTAAGAAGCTGTGGTAGGAACACATGAAACCAGATTCTTAGATTTTGAGTGTGGGGAGGAACAGCCGGAGGAAGGAGAGGGGAAAAAGGAGAGAACAGAGAAACAACCTACTGCCTACTCTCTCAAATTCTGAAGCAAGAGGCTTTTGTAACACTTCTGCAGCAGTGATGGCATCCAGCCACCTGTAATTCTACACTCAAGGAATCCACCACTAGCAGCAGAATTTCAAGAACTCTGGCTTTTCATAACTCTGTTCACAAAGGCTTAGAAGCAAGGGAATTTAAACCTTTCTGAACTAGAAAAATCAGTATATGATTAAATGGTTTCAAATTCAAAAATTCTCTGAAAACCTGGGTTATCAAAAGTGAAACAAGTTTATTTAATTCAATTCAACCTAGCACTCCACAGGATGTCAATTCTGTATGACAAGAATGGAGCAGCAGAATTACAGTTCAGGGATATACATAAAAGATATGTGAACAAGTTACTTTATACAAAAGCTTTTCTGCATTGTACAGTGCTTTATCTGGTATTAACAGTATTTCACTCTAAATAATAAAGGTCATCCAAAAAGTTTCAAGTTCGAGTCCGGGGATGCATATGTCTAAGGCCTGGTCCACACTAACCCCCCACTTCGGACTAAGGTACGCAAATTCAGCTACGTT